ATCAGTTCTTAATGATTCTCAGTATCCACCACTCACCTCCATAGCAGAGTTTTTCCTTCATCCAGATTTGAACGCCTGGAAGATTTGTTCAGTCTGTTTCCTTGACTGCCAATATACCACCTGAGTTATACAGTGCCTCCTGTTTTCTTAGGGGTTCGTAAAGGAAAGCCAACAAACTTTAAATTGCCATTAATTTATCACTAGACACATTATCTGCAGATTGCTTCACTATTGCCTCAATAGCATTTGCTGCCTGTCTTTGGTGAGGGCAGGGCTGACACGAGCACATCAATCTCTTCCTTTTTGCCCTGTGGGTGTGTAAATACCAGCTACTCCCAGGCACCTCGTGAGAAAGGAGTTGCACAGCCTGGAAGGTGTGTTGAGTCAAAACCTGCAAGCCCAGACGTTCATCAGGAATGTTATAAACGTGCCATTTTCTGAGTTCTGTGTGTTCATCTAAGGGTAGGGAGGGGTACAGCTGGTGAGCTGGGACTAGGGCAGCTGGCATAGCCCAGGTTGTCTCCTCAGGAAGGAGGATGGGGAGAGACTTTGGCCAAGGCAACTGCAGGGGGGGAGTTTCCTTGAAGAAACTCCTGGGATAGAGTATGTGGGAGAGTGTCAAGTAGACCATGGGGCACAGTAGGACAACACCCTTAACAGGTCCTTTTACAAACGCATATTTCCATAAAGTATGGAAAAATATGCCATGCTATGATACATGATACATGCTTTGAGCAACCTGGTCTGTCTGGGGGAAGGTGTCCCTGCACATAGCAGGGGGGGTGGAACGTGGTGATTTTTATGCTCCTTTCCAAGGTCCCTTCCCTTGGCCATTTCTTAAAACACATTTATGATACCACTGTTTCAGGAAATTAATTCTGATCATAAGGTCCCCCCAGGAAGGGAAAACAAGACGCATGAGAGCTGGGACATGGGGAAACTGAAACAGAGGGTGCAGTCCCAGCACATCCTAGGCCTGAGAGGATGCAGGGCTGAGTAATCTGTATATAAAGAAAAGGTCATTTTGAGGGAGGATTTGCACGGAGGAAAATGGTTTACAAGCAGTAGAAATAAATAGTCCTTGTAAACCACTGGAGGGGATATAAACCAGCTGGGATGAAAAGAATCAGGGGGAAAAAGCAGACTTTTCTATACAACACCAAGAAACCATAAACCCCTCTCTTCCATCCTGCCCTGGTGCTGCGTTTTACACATACCCCTGGCTCAGAAAAAAAAAAATTCTGCTGTTTTTTGTCAGTCTAAGTAAAGGCAAAATTTTTCCTACCCTTAAGAAAAAGGTTTGCTTTAAAGCCTTTAGCCTTATACTTGAATAAACTTTCCATAGGGCCTATAATTTTAATCATATTTGAAAAAATTGGTTTAAAAGAACAGAAATTTGAATTGGGGGAAATATCAGGCAGTGAGATAAGAGTCAGTTTAATGGAATGCTTCTTATTTCCTCTGTCTGGCTTAACAAAACCAGGTCCAGCAGTTTATTGCTTAATGAAATGTCATCAGGCAACTTCAAACAGATCAAGTTCCTAAGCTAACGAACAAGCCTGGAATATTCCTTCAGCCTGTGTCTTCCACAAATTTGGAAGAGTGCAGTGGAAAACATACAGAAACATGCTCCCTTTGACTGCTGAGAAAACCCAGCACTGCTGGGTCTGAAGGCAGGAAAGGCAACACCAGGTGTGTCCATTCAGTATTTTGGGATTTTCCAGGCGGAACTGCACCGTCCCTGCTGTGCCCAGACAAAAAACCTGCCATCAATTCATCTCTAAAAGCAGTCCCCTGGAAGCCACCCAGATATGGGAAACACACCCAAACTTCCCAGGTGGCCCCAAGGATGAAAGAGTCAAGAAGATCTGTACAAATGGATGATGGAGTGGGCTGTCAGCAAGGATGGCTTTTATTCCAAGTGCATGAATGGAAAGGGTGAGGGGGATAAAGGAAAGATCTGGAAGCCCTGCAGACCACCTGTTCCCAAATCAAGGCAGTGTGTGCACTGATTGGTGTGATCTGAGCTGTTAAACATGTTCCTGGTGAAGTTTTATAAGCCAAGCTTTTATAAGAAAGTTAAAAAAAAAATACTTCAGGTGTTCAAAATGCAAGGCACTTGTTCTGTCATGTAGAACGAGGTGAGTCGGTGTTCAGAGAGTGGCTTCCCATATGTGTGGACATCACATGAGTGATGTCTGAACACAATTCCTCTCCCAAGGTATTTGTGGGCATAATTAGGCAGACCTCTTAGAAATTAAAGGTGATGAAGTTATAATAAACAGAATTTTCCCTTAAGTCAGGCTTAAAGAATATAATGAATGAGGAACAGGGAGAGTTGGGGGAAGGAAAAACAACCTGAGAAAGTCCAGTCCTCCTGGGGAAACAATAAGTAAAACTGAACAGCAGAACATCCACTCCAAAATTTCACATCTCCTTACAAAACTTGCTGTTTGCTACACAGCAAAATGCTTTATTTATGTTCTGTGTTTCCTAAAGGAAAATATTGGGAATGGCACTGAGTGTCTTTGGGAGGAATGAGGTAATTGGATATAACATGAAAAATCACTGTTCCCATTGCTTTTACCTATGACTTAACTATTTAATCATGCCCATTACATTGTCTGTGCTGATGATGGGCTGGCCATGGAACGCAGATTTTAAAACAATCCCTGCCAACTGCTTCTCAGCCTTCAATATTTATATTCCTTTTTTTTTTTTTTTTCCCAGCCATGAAACAGTGTCAGACAGACTCAAAACACATTTTTATAAACCTGTGCTAGAAGAAAATCTGGTCACATCCAAACCTGGGAGTGCACTGCCAGAGTTCTGAAGGCATGACTGCAAGGTGGCACATAAATCAGATCACTGCATGGGTAGCCCCTGCTTTCAGCACACCAGTAAATAGGTCAGCACCAGTAAAGAGGTGAGGAATTCAGGATTTGAATTAAAAAATGAGATTGTCCAGCAAAAGAAAAAAAGCTTATCCCCACGGTATGGACATTGCAAGAAACATCCAGGGTCTGGATTTTTCTAGTTCCACATGAAAAAGCACTTTCACAGTGGGGTGGGGAATGGGAAAAAGAAGCTGTTTGGGGGTTTCCAGCTGTATTTCTCTCACATCAGAGTGTGTATGATGGTATTAACCCTTCACATGAATAAATCTCATTTCTCGCTAGAAACAGAAACTTTGGCCAGGGCATGAATGCCACCTGGGGACACAGATGCAGCTCCCCCAGCCCATCCCAGCTGCCAAAAGAGGGAATGAAGCCACTGCCTTCAGGTCTTCTGGGACTGCTGGGACAATGCTCCACACGTACAGTCTCTCAAGATAAAATTGCATTAAGGCTGTGATAAAAGCCAAAGTACACAAGAATTAAGGCTAGAGCTGACCTCCAACAGTATAGGGATTCTTCAGAGGTTTTCCTTATCTGAAAAGTGCCCAAACTGTTTGCCTTCAGAAAGTTCTTGTCTGATATAAATAATTAACAAGATCACTTGCCAGCACAGTAAACACACATCCACACTACACTTATTTCTTATCTGCTCCTCCATTTTTCAAAAGCATGTGCCACATTTTAACATCTTGGGAATTGCTTCCCACATTTGCCACCCTTATGAATACATGAACACATGAATACACAAACTTGCTCCCTGGGAGCAGAACCTGACCACCCCTTGGCTCCCCACTCCTGTCAGGGAGTTGCAGAGAGCAAGAAGATCCCCCCTGAGCCTCCTTTTCTCCAGGCTGAGCCTCCCCAGCTCCCTCAGCTGCTCTTTGAGATGCAGACCCTTCCCCAGCTCTGTTCCCTTCTCTGGACTTGCTCCAGCCTCTCAATGTCTTTCTAACCATGAGAGGTCCAAAACTGACCCCAGGATTCAAGGTGTGGCCTCACCAGTGTCCAGCACAGGTGGGCAGTCACTGCCCTGCTCCTGCTGGCCACACTAGTGCTGGTACCAGCCAGGTGCTATTGGTCATCTTGGACCACTGAGCACATGAAGGCTCATGTTCAGCTGCTCTTGACCACCTGTCAGCTTTCTGGATGCTCTTCCCCACACCTGGAGGTGGTTGTGGGTTGTGGCTGAGGGCCTGACAGGGCAGGGGTGGGGATCAGGCTTTATGTCACTGGTGCTGGGGATGCTGATGGGACACTGAATGGATCCTGGTCTTCAACATGCTTAGGATATCGCGGTTGGCACAGTAGGTGACAAAGCAAAGCCTCATGGACTGAGACAGTTTAATAAGGAAAACAAACCAGAACCAAACAAGTGATGCAAAATGCCACAGTGGCTCCAGGCCTGATGCCTTGCTGGTCCAGGGGCAGCAGCAGCAGCAACAGTTGTGCTACTGAGCAACATCATGAGGTGTGGGGCTCTCCCTGGGGTCAGGGTAACCAGTTGCCCTGGCTCTGTCCCCTCCCAACATCTGATACCCCCAAGGCTGCTCCCTGGTTCTGGGCTGAGGAGCAGAAAAGGCCTCAGCACTGTTCAGTCTCTGCTCAGCTGTGGCTCAGACAGAGCTGTGTTCCCCACCCTGCTTTGGTCACAAATCCAAAGCATGGCCCAATGCAAAGTTAACTCCATCTTATCCACAACCAGTTCACTTGCTCAGCGCTGCCACCAACTCCACACTCAGTGAGGTCCCCATCTCTGGGCTTGTATGGCCCCAAACCCCAAACTTTTCGAGGTGGTGGTGATGTCACAGCAGGCACTGTGACATCATCACCCAAGCCAGTATTGGCAGAGCTTGTAATCAGCGGTGACAATGTCACAGAAGTCACTGTGACATCTTCCCCAAGGCCTAAAGCGTAAAAGATGGCTGCTTGTCAACCAGGGGGAAGTTAGCTGGGGGGGGGGGTGGGGGTTCTGGAGCCCTTGAGGCAGCTCACATGCATCTCTCTTCACTCAGGGTTGGTGCACGAGTGTCTGGAGGAGAAAGGCCAGCTGTGTTGCAGCAAAGGCTCTCCAGACATTCACCACCAGCCTGTTCCGTATCTGCAATGGCACAGCAGGACAAAGTCTCGAAGGAGCAAGGTGAAAGAGAAGTCTCTCTCCCCACAGTTCCCATGGCTGCAGAGGGGATGCCAAAGCACACTGTGAGCAGCCAAGAACACTGGCAGAGGGAGGCAGGAGATTCCCAACTGCCTTAGGGTCAGCGGGGCCCAGGCTGGGCTGTGGGCACCTATTGGGGCATCCATGCCCTGCCCTGCCCTTCTGCCAGGCCAGGAGGGACAGAGCAGGATCCTGGGGACCATCCTGTAGGTGCACTTCCCCAGCCCCAGAGAGGTGCTCATCCCAGTGCCATGTGCTCTCTCTCTCTCCCTCTCCAGTGTGCCTGCTGTGTCGCCGGGCAGAGGCGGATCCGGACATTTGTGGGGTCAAGAGGGTGAAGTTCAGGCTCTGCGTCCATATCTACTGCCAGGTGAGTTCTCGCAGGGCTCCCTCCAGCTTTCTGCCAGGGAAAGGCCCTTCCTTGCTGAACTAAGGAGCTCCTGGCTTTTCCTGCTCTGCAGTTCTTTGCCAGCGGGCTTTTTCCACAAGAGAACTCGGAAGACTTTTTTGTTAGGGACACCAGACGCGTCATCCAGGAGGCAGCCAAGAAGGTGAGGACCTGGAAGGAGCAGGGAGCTTTGCACCAGGAGAGGCTCCTGGACTCCAGGAAAGAAACCCCAACCCCAGCACAGGCAACAGCCTCGTGCACAGGCAGGTCTGGGGCTGTGAGCCCTCAGTGCCCACATCCCATGCCCTGCCTGGAGCTGCAGGGTAGCCATGCAGCCCTGATCCTGCTGCTCAGGGGCTGCTGTGCTCTTTCCAGTACTGCTTTGCTTGCAGCAAGATGGGGGCCACCATCACTTGCTGGAAGACGGGGTGTGACCGCAGCTTCCACCTGCCCTGCGCCCCACAGGGTGAATGTGTCACCCAGTTCTTCGGGCTCTACAGGTAAGGGCTGCCAGCCCTCGTGCTGGAGCCTTCTCGTTTGTCTCCAAACCACCTGCTGTCCACAGTGTCCAGTCAAAAGAGGAACCCACAGGGGAACAGCTTCCCAGAGGCAGAGGCAGAGCCCTCACAGGGGCTGGGGCTCCATCACAGCTCCTCTGCCCTCCTTGCCATCACCGGGGAAGGACTCGGCACTTCCCACCTCCCCTCCCTCCCCTCTTCCATCTTGTCCCCAGGTCCTTCTGCTGGGAGCACCGCCCACGGCAGGCAGTGCAGGCCCGCCCAGGGCAGAACAACACCTGCAGCATCTGCTTGGATACTGTGGAAGACAAAACATCCTTCAAAACCATGGTGTGCCCCGCATGCCAAGACGCCCGCTTCCACCGGCACTGCATCCAGAGACTGGCTCTCCATGCTGGCGTCTGCTTCCACTGCCCGTGCTGCCAGAACCAAGAGCTGTTTCTGATGGAAATGCTCACCATGGGGATCCGAATCTCCAAGAGGTTGTTTTTTCTCTTCCCAACTCACAAGGCCTCGGGCCCAAGCGCAGTGCCAGCCTAGGGACTGCCCCAGCAGGCCTGGCTGCCCTCTGTTCCATGCCTCTTGTCCTCAGCTTCACGGAGGAGCTGGAAACGGGGCAGGCAGAAAAGCAGGGATTGCCTGGGGCAGCTGGGGCCTCAAGGCTTTCCCCTCCTTCTCCCGCAGACCTCCATCTTGGGAGAGCGACCCAGCAGTCGAAGCATTAGATCAGAGGCAGAGCCGCTGCGACACCACCACGTGCCTTTGCCCGGGGGGCAGGAAGCACGCAGAGGAAGAGGGGTAAGTCGCCAAAGCAGCAATCCAGGGCTCTGCACGGGGTCTTTGTCTCCCCACGGGCTCAGGGAGGAAGGACTAAGAACAAGGGCTCTGCTGGGCTACCCCTTGCTGCGCCACTTTATCCTCACAACATGTGTCTCGTTTTCTTCCCCAGGCCCTGGGAACTGCTGCTGTGCAGCTCCTGCGCCGCCGAGGGCACCCACCGACACTGCTCCTCTTTGGAGAGCAGCACCAGCTCCTGGGAGTGCAAGGGCTGTGCTGGCACAGAGACTGGTGGGTGGCAGAGCACCCGGGCCCTGCTCTGGGGCCAGAGGCCAGGCTGGGTCCGGCAGCAGCTGCCTGAGGCTGGGCTTGGCACCGGGAGGGCTGTGGGTACCACAGCGGCCTCTCCCACCCAGGGGCTGAATACCCATCCTGCTGACCCTCCCGCCTCTCCTTGCAGGCTCCACTGGCAATTCAGAGCTTGCCAAGCCCAGCACTTCCAGCCAGGCAGCATCAGGGCTGGGCCATGCAAGCAGCAGCCTCTCCAGGCACCCTGGGCCAGCCCAGATCCAACACGGCACACCATGGCAGGCACAAAACTCGGGCAGCCCCACGGTAAAATGCCCAAAGATCAACCGTGTGCCACTGCTGAGCGCCGAGACCAGCAGCCCCAGCACTTCCAGTCAGGCAGTGTCCCAGAACGCGTTGCCCATCAACAGCAGCAGCTGCTTCTCCCGCCCTCGGCAGAGCTTGAAGCGGCAGCGCCCAGAGCAGGACAACGAGTCGTGGACACCCTACAGCCCGCCAGCAAAACGCCGCAGGATGGACGAGGAGCCAGCCCAGAGCGCTGAGGGCAGCAGGCCCAGCACCTCCAGCCAGGCACCGTGGCTGTACCGCAGCATTTGGGCAGCAGGCAGAGCGGCATCACAGTTACTGCTGCTGTACAGACCGTCATGGCTCTTCCCCAGCTCCGTGAGGGAAAACTGCTCCCGGCCGGGGCCGGTTCGGATGCGACACATCTCGCGGCAGCGACGGCGGGCGAGGAAGCCCTACAGCCTGCCCCGAAACCACCGCAGGACCCGGCGTGCTGGGCCCCCCCACCCGCCACAGAAGCACAGGAAAAAAAGGAAATAAAAGTTTGTTTGCACTGGGAGATGCCACCCTCCTTTCCCAGTCGTCTTGCAGCCTCCAGCAACTGATCTGCTGGTTGAGGAAGACACTCCAGCATGTGTGTCCTCTCAGGGGCTCAAACTGGCCCATCACAGCACTTGGTGTCAGGGGAAGCTTGTGGACTCTAAGTCCTGTAAATACATTGTATTAGCAAGTAGGTGACATGTAAAAATTCCACCTCCTCACTGGAAAACATCTGGAATGCAATTCAGCAGCTCTGATAGAGTATTCCATTAGGAAATGGGGCACAGGGGGACAGTCACTGCCCTGGTCCTGCTGGCCACAGTATTCCTGCTGCAGGCCAGGATGCCACTGCCATTGCCGACGTTCATCCAGTGCCAACCATCACCTCCTGGTCCTTTCCTGCCAGGCAGCTTTCCAGACAGTCTTTCTCAAGTCATGTTGTTCGTGTTGTTCAACATGCTGTGGTCAGGGTATGGGGTTGACCTCAAACTCTTCAGGCCATTGCTGATCTCATGCATTAGGCATGTTTCTACTAACACATCCAAAAAACCCTTGAGTGATGTGCAGAGGAGGCTTTGTGAGCCTGGAACAGTCAGACAGCCATTTCTTTCTGTGCACAGGGCTACAACTCCCAACCAAAGATTAAACACCCATAGTGTGAGTGGAGACAAAGTGGCTGATCCTAAAATAGCTCCCTGCCAAGAAGGTGTGAAGGGGGGAGAGGTGGCCAGACAGGGGGACAGGCTACAAAAGCAGCTGCAATGAGCTGCTGAATGTGATCCACCAGTGACATGGGTATTTCAGATTGGGGACAGGCCTAGGTGTCTGAGATGTGAAGACAAAACTCATTCAGAGAGCTAGGATGGCTAACAGAGGGCTAAAAAACGCCAAAAAACCCAACTAATCACATCCTCAGTCTCACAGAACATGTAGGAAATTGTCTGCTAGGTGAGTCTGACCTGGACTACATTTTATATACAGTCGTCAAAAAGGGGCTCAATTTTAGGCTCAAGAAGCCCAAATGCAGCTGGTGAGCCACAGTTTCACATCAAGACAGGGTGACAGCAGCTGTGTGCCCCAGGTGGAACAGTGCAGTGGAACGTGGGATTCGTGAAAACAGCCTGGGAGAGCAGGGACTGTTCAACCTGGAGAAGAGAAGGCTCTGAGGAGACCTTGTAACACCTTCCAGTATTTAAAGGGACTCCAAGAGAGCTGGAGAGGGACTTTGAATAAGGGTGTGGAATGACAGGACAAGGTAAAATGGCTTCAAACTGCTAGAGAGCAGGGTTAGATGGAATACTGGGAAGAAATTTCTCCCTGTGAGGGTGGGGAGGCCCTGGCACAGGTTGCCCAGAGAAGCTGTGGCTGCCCCATCCCTGGAAGTGTCCAAGGCCAGGTTGGACAGGGCTTGGAGCAACCTGGGCTAGTGAAAGGTGTCCCTGCCTATGGCAGGGGATGGAATGAGATGATCTTTAAAGTCCCTTCCATCTCAAAACAGATTATATAATGCAGCATGGAAACTAGGTTTGGGAATGGTCAGGGAATTGAGCAAATGCTTTTATTGTCAAAAGCTGTGAGCAGCAGCTGCCTCCCAATCAGTTTTAACTCAGTCTTATGCCACTTTAAACTTTTATGGATGAGCAGGAAGAAAGAAAAAAGCTTGTCCCTGATGAAGCTTTCAGACAGCACTGGGATTAGGGACCTGATGAAGAGGAGGAGAAGGAGGATGTGCTGCAGAGGCAGCAGTGGGTGATCTTAGAATCACAGAATCAACTGGGTTGGGAAAGACCTCCGAGATCATCAAGTCCAGCCCTTGATCCAATACCCGTGGTTCCCAGACCATGGCACTGATGCCACATCCAGTCTCACCTTGAAAACTTCCAGGGATGTTGAATCCACCACTTCCCTGGGCAGCCCATTCCAATGCCTGATCACTCCTTATATTCAACCTAAACCTCCCCCGGCACAGTTTATGACCACGACCTCTTGTCCTGCTGCTGGTTGCCTGGCAGAAGAGCCTGATGCCCACCTGGCTACATCCTCCTGTCAGGGAGCTGCAGAGTGATGAGGTCACTCCTGAGCCTCCTCTTCTCCAGGCTAAGCAACCCTCAGCCTCTCCTCATAGAACTTGTGCTCCAGTCCCTTCCCCAGCCTCGTTGCTCTTCTCTGGACCTGCTCCAGCCCCTCCATGTCCTTCCTGAACTGAGGGGCCCAGAACTGGACACAGCACTCCAGGTGTGGCCTCCCCAGTGCTGAGTACAGGGGAAGAATCACTTTCCTGCTCCTGCTGCCACACTCTTCCTGATCCAGGCCAGGATGCCATTGGCCCTCTTGGCCACCTGGGCACACTCTGGCTCATGTTCAGCTTCCTGTTGATTAAATCTCCCAGGTCTCTTCCTGTCTGGCTGCTCTCCAGCCTCTCTGTGCCCAGCCTGTGGGGCTGCAGGAGGTTGTTGTGGCCAAAGTGCAGGACCCAACACCTGGCCTTGTTGAACCTCATCCTGTTGGAATCAGACCATGGATCCAGCTTGTCCAGGTCCCTCTGAAGATCCCTCCTGCCTTCCAGCAGATCAACACTCCCCCCTCTTGGTGGGCTCAGTCAGATAAAAGAACAGAGAAAGCAGCTGCAGGGATGTAGCTGGGCTGTAGCAGGGTTCTAGCAGCCCACTCCACCTACAACCTCTTCTGCCACTGCTTAATATTAAAGTCTGCTTTAATTTTCTGAGATAATGCCTTTGCCAACACTGCTTGAATGACCCTCCTTCAGAGAGGGCTCTAAGGTGGAGGCTGGGGGATACAAGCCCATGAGCCAGGGGTTACCCACGCTGTGTGACGTGTTCCTGATGTTAATTGTCTGCTTGGAGTCTGGTGATGAGCAGGGATTATATTCTATTAATACTCTTCATTCTTTCTCAGTGACTAATCTCCCTCCTTAATTTCAAAGCCTCACGTCCCTAAAATGGACTGAACTTAACTGTGGAGTTTCTGGCTGGTTTGCTACTATTTTATTGTTTCCTTTTCAAATCCACAGGGACATCTCACCTCTGCACTGGGTACTGTCACAAAACTCACCTCTCACACTGATTTGCAGGCAGGAAAACATCACTTAAATCAAGGTTAGCCCCTTCCACAACAGACTGACAGTATTTGTGAACAAGGGAAAAGCAGCAGTTGTTGTGGATCCTCACACCGGGAAAGCTCTGGCTGCTGCTCTCAGAACTAAGTGCTGAAAACAAGATCTGCATGAAGACAAAACATCACTGGAAACATTTAAACATCTGGCTTGTTTAGCCTTAATAAAGAGTGAGGGGTCATGTGCTGAATCTTTAAGAGGAGAATGAAGTGCACTCCAAGCCCTGGGTAAAAAGAACAGGGAATCAAGGCATGAAAGGGATGAAGTGGGAGATAACGACCCCACTGGGCAAAGGAAGAGCACTTTTTGAGGCTTCCCAGGTTTTGGGAGAGAGCACTGCCCTGGAAAGCGGGGCTGAAAGGAGCTCTGTGACCTGCTGCCACTGCCAGCACTTTGTTCTGTTCTTGCAAAGCTCCATTGCTCTGTGCAACCTCAGTGAAGCTCTGCTTCCTCCCACTGAGCTATTCCAGATTTTCATACCCTCATTACTTTTTTGTTCTTCAGATAAATATTGATCACACCCCAGGTTTCTCTTAAATTCTCTTAAAACATATTCTCCAAAGATCCAAACTGTAGCTGTGCCAAGAGAAGGGAGATCCTCAGGGCTCTCTCACAGGGCAAGGCAGGCAGTAGTTCTTCTCTGATTGTGCTGGATTTCACCCCAGACCCTGTTCTCCCTCTGTTCAGATGAGATCTCAGTCCAGAAATTAAGGTAAAAATACTGAGGCTAGAGCACCAAGAGAGTTTCATGGGCAGAGCTGGTCCAGCCATAATGACACAAGGAAAGTTGTGACACATGGGGAAGGAGGTCCCAGGCACCACCATGGTTGTCAGCCTTTCTTTTTGGTTTTAATTTACTTATTATTGCTTTAGCATGTGACCACCCACTAGCCTGCAGAAGAATAGTGTGGGCAGAGGACTAGATTAAACCAAAATGTTCCTGCTCAAACTCATGGTGTGTGAATTACAAACTGTTGACTTTCAGCTCGGAAAAAATCATCCCCATCCCTCTCTGAGCACCCTGCACTCCCCAGGCCCCCACCACGGTGCCTTCCCCTCCTCATAAGGAGTCTGGGCTGCAGCAAACATCTATTTGGAGGATCATCAGGAATACCTTGAGAATCTCCTGGGGAAACCTTACAAATGGATTCCTCACCCACAAAATAAAAAAACCCACAAGAGCTCAAGGGGCCCTCCCAGGGATGAAGTTCATCCAGTTTGCCTGATGACAAGCTGTGGCTCACACCTGTGGACAGAAATAGTCCTAAAAAGCCCTGTTATGTGATCCCAGTTCATCTCCACAGGGCCACAGAGAGCACAGCCTTTCAAAACTGTAGTATTTGGCTCGCTCCTTCACTAGAAGAAGCAGCCCTGCTTGAAGAGGCCCCTCTGCAACCACCAAACGTCTTTAATGATGCAGGTACCGCCTGCTCCGAGCGCGGCGGCTGCACAGGAACACCTTCCCCATTTGGCTTTAATCCTGTTTTCATTTTTGTGCTCTCCAAGGTTAAACTCAGAGCTGGGAGCTCCAACTCAAGCCCTTTAGCTCCGAGCCTGCACCACACGCAAATACCAGTCCCTTTCTCACACTGTCTTTGGCCCTGATGTGCAGCAACTGTTCCTGCACATGGGAGGGAGAGATCAAGGACTGTATCAGCAAGGCCACAGCTCTGTGTTTGTATTCCAACTGCCTGACATTTTTTGCAGCCCAGACAATACAAAATGTCCCAATTACATGGCTCTGGTCCACGCTCACACTGAGCCTCCCCCAGGGGAGCTCAGGGGAGCAGCCTGGTGCAGGGCCACAAAGCCATGTGATATTTTCACACAACAGCGTCCTTTTCTTGATCTTTTTCTCTTTTCCCCT